TTCCCTTAAGGGAGTTTGAAGCTGTATCTCCCACTTCCAACAAAGTGCTGTAACTACCATGCCATGGCTCAGAAGAAAAAGAGCAAGCCAAGACTATGGTCCAGTGAGGAACACAAGCTTGGGGTCTGGCCATGACTGTGCCCCCAGTGGATGGAAGTTACCCCACTGCTGTTTCTCCTTTTTATCCAATGATTAGTAAATGAAAAAATCAATAAAACTCATTGCAGGCAGTGGGCCAGTACCCAAGGCCCCCATCCTTAGAGAGTAGTGAGCCAGTACCCTCTCTGGTTTGCTAATCCTCCTGGCCTCACATATCTTCCCCTTGCGGCTGTCCAGTGGGTCAGCTTCAGGAGGAGAACTAGAAACTGCTCTGACCAATACCTCGCTCATAGCTTGGTGGTTAGAGCATTTTGCTAGGAAGTAGAAGATACAAATTCAAAATTTCTCTGGGTGAAGGAAACCCAGAAACTGGCTCTTTTACTTCCTCAACAAGAACCTTAACTGCAGAGCTGTTCAGCTACGAGGCATGAGGACCTGCTTCCTTATCAGTTTTACTTTGTGCAAAATATGTACACAGATACCTGGGTGATCCTATTTCACTATAGGTGGAAATAGACTCTAAAAGCCAAAGAAGGACCAAAAATTACACGTATACAGATAATGCCATTTAAGTGCATAAAGGTGAAATAGGATTCAGCCCAAAGCATTTTTTGTTTCTGTATTTGTTGCATATTTTGATATTTGTGATGAACAAAAATCTTGTATAACCATTCTTAAACAAATACATTTAATTATGTCATTTTAAAAATAATGCATAGAGCAATTTTCACCCAAAGGATACCAAGGAGATTTGCTACTTTTATAAAATGAATGTATATCTATCACAGTTTTTACTAAAGCTGTTTTCATTAGAGTCATGGTTTTTGAAAAGATACTTAATCTTTTATTTTCTTCATATATTCATTACAGATGATGGAGCGATGGGAGAACCAAGGCAGTCCTCAGACGAGTTTATCTGCTCCAGCGATACCACAGAATATTCCCTTTCCACCCACCCTTCACAGGAGTTCATTTCCTGATTCAACAGAGGCCTTTGATCCAAGGAAACCTGACCCATATGAGCTATATGAGAAATCAAGAGCTATTTATGAAAGTAGGCGTAAGTGAAAGCCCTGTTCACCCTGCTGAAAATGATTTTAAGCATTTTCCAATGTGTGTGTCAAGGCTGGCATATTTTTGCACAATTACATCTATTGTATTTTTAAAGCAACATAAATATGAACTCAATGGCCATGTCCAGACAAGCATGGCCATGCAGTATGTGACACTGCAGACACATCTGTGGCACCACATATTGCATATTCAGCTGTTCTCCATGCTGCAAGGGAGCAGCGTGGGGTCATGTGGTTTGACCCCTGGATATCCAGGGATCAAAAAAACCTGCACAAAAAAAGCAGAGTTGTGCACACGGCGAGAGCACACACTGCTCAAAACTGGAGCCTGGCCGCCTGGAGCCACACTTCGGCTGTTGGCCAAGCGCTGAGCAGCAGGATTGGCACTGCTACAGCCCCAGGAGGCACCCAGGACCTCAAGTAAGGCTGCTGGGGCCAGTGCTCCCCTACCGCACTCAGAGTAACATTCTGCATGCCAGAGGATGCAGGGCACAACTAGTGGCAGTGCAAGGTGTCCGGCTGCTAGTTCTTCCCAGGGAACCAAATATCCATGCTCATGTGGGTGCTGCCAATTAGTGCACACTATTAAAGTGGCTCAAAACTCTATTTCAATGCATTTAGGCTAAATTTGCTTACATTTTACACACATAAGAGTTGACTAGGAAGTTTTGCTTCCTATTTTGCTTCCTATTTTCCCTCCCCTATTCTAAATATAAAACCCTCAGTGTAAAACAGTATACATCAAAGTAGATTGATCTGAGATTTTTCTTTCTGCTTAACTGATAATGTGATACAAATTTAATAATAAATTGTTTCTCTTATTTTTACTCTTAGACTGAAATTCAGAAAAGAAACTTCAGATTCTTTTTTTTTTTTTACTTGCAATGATTTTTCACTAGCTATTATACCCTCCTTGGCACTAAAATCCTCAAAAAGGTAACACCTGAATCTTATGGAAGACAGAAAGTACCTCACTCAAAATTTCTTTTCTGTGTTTTCCATTTTCAGGTTTTTAAATAATGTATTCCATTATTTCACATGAACGAAAGATTTTTAACTCATATATTTGTGCTTCATTAATAACCTTTTAGGAATAGATGTAGGAGTTATCCATATTAGTCTGAAGTCACACAGAAAGTAGATAGAGGTGCACCTTATAAAGTGAATCAAATGGTTTTGTTTTTAGAGTTACATCTTATGCTTAGATATAGTAGTTTTCATCTTGATGACTTTCAATTCGCTGTTCAAAAATGCACAAAATACCCCATGACCCCAACACACATCCATTTTCATTTCCCTGATAGCAGTTGGGCTGTGGATGCTGGAATCAGTTGCAGCCTGCAAATTTCAGGTTCACTTCTAAAAGTAAACTCTTTCAAAGCTAGGGAATGCTTGATTTGGGTCTCATTCAGGCTGACCTCTATATTACTATTTAAGTAAAAAATGTTCCATTCAGTGCTTCCCTGAAATGGAGTGTTATAACATAATGAATACTCAAGAAGCCAGTTAAGAACATTGAGCATAGATTCATGGAGAGGTAGAAAGAGATGGAAAGAATGATTATGGCAGGGACCCCAAAAATAGCTCTCTCTTCATCTGTAGTCAGTGATCTGCACATGTATGTAGCATGCAGTGTAATTACTCACAAGAATAAACAGAAGTAGATTTTTTTATTCTTAAACCACTGGTGAAGGTATTTGAGAGGTTCTTCTCTTTGTCTGTGCTCCAGGTCCCTGCTCAAAAAGCCTGGCTCCTTAGTTCAAGTGGTAGCTCATATTTTTGACTTTGGAATTACGCAGTCCAGTCCCTAATGAGTCAAATGTTGCTCTTTGTTCCCAATATCCCTCTTCATTCCATCAACTTACGTATTCACTGATTTAAACACATCCAGACTGCCCCAATCTGGCCACTTTGAATCGTAGAATCAGAGAGAAGTAGGACTGGAAGGAACCTCCAGAATCCAACCCCCTGCCCGAGGCAGGATCTTCTATAATAACTTCGCTAAGGTCTAGCATCATTTCCCTGTCCCACATAAATGAAACTCTTATACTTAGCCTATATTTCTGTTGCCTTTTCCTTCATTGCCCCCAGGCCTTCCCCCGCCAATGCCTCCCCAGGCCATTCAAAATGCTGCTGCCCAACCGCCTTCCACCGCCAATGCCTCCCCAGGCCATTCAAAATGCTGCTGCCCAATTCCACCCTAATCATGCTGTCCATGATATTCCCTTTATAGACCCTTCTCCTGGCTATCTGTTCACCAGTGTATCATGTTCAAGCTTTCAAGGCCGTTCAGAGCTTTGTCTTCTCTATCTATCCATTCTTATCTCTTATCTTGTGCTCACCATCCCCTCCATATTGACACTGATATTAGCCTTGATTGCTCTCTGCTCTGCTGCTCCCACAGACATCTATTGCTTCCTTGTACATTGCTCCTATGTATGGAACACTCTCCTGAATAGATTTACAAAGTCTGTACCCTTCAGACCCTTCTCCACATAGACCATTCCTTTTATATGATCTACAAAAAGAGGCTAATTAATACTGGATACGTTGAGGAAAAGTTGGACTTAGTTGATATAGATTTATTACATACCATAGAAATCATGATCCTGATTTCAATGTAATAGATTAATTAACTGGTTTAACATACAGAAAATCATATATAATGGGATGCATCCTTCTGCCCTGATGTTTGGATAACATTTTCCCCAAGAATGGCCTTCATATCTGCGGCTATAAAAAAATTTAAAAAAAAATCTCTACTAACCTTGGAAATAATTTTTAGCATAGGTATCACGTAGGTCAGCCACTTCCTCTCCGCTTTCATACGGACCCTGACATGTGTGTCATGATATAAGCAAGGAAGTAGCAATTTTTGCACATTCATAATAGTACCATTGTCCATAGATAACCCAGAAAACTGAAGCCAATTTTGTCTTCTCTTACTAATATTGAAAATTCTTACCCAATTATATTTTACCTTCCTTAGGCCAAGTTATTGTCCTGATTAGGTGCCTAACTTTAAGTACTTATTTAGTACTTACATAATCTGTCTGGATTTTCCAGAAGTGCCAAATAGCCCCTGGTTCCCAATATGGATTTAGGAGCTCACCTTTAGGCACCAATTATTTTAAGTATTTGATCCTATATTAGGTCAGCAACTGTATCTTCCTATATACGTTTGGAGAGTACCAAGCCACTTAGAGCTGCTACTTTAATACACATTATTAATAACACAG